AAGCCACAGGCCCCACCACGCCATTGGCCAGGATTGAGTCACGTGCCCTCCCCAGAGCCAATGGGAGCGAGCGGACAAGGTGACCGGGAATGACCTTCGACTGCCCGCGCTGCGCGGAGGGAAACCCACTACAGGCTGCGCCTCTCCTCCAGCGAGGGGGTACCCCTGGGTCCCTGGGAAACGGAATCGAGGGTCTTATGGAAGAGAAGGTTTGGAACCACCGCTGGAGGGAAGGGGAGAAGGAAGCAAGCAGGAGTTGCGGGAACAGGAAGGGACTAGGGATAGAAGCCGGGCTTGGAGACAGTGAGGCACGAACCCCGGCAGACACAGACACATACGAGGGGTGCCGATCTCCTCACTGGGCGGGGTGGGCAGGAAAAGGAGCAGAAGCTGGAGCTAGGGTGAGGGTTGCGGGCGGCGAGTGTATACCCGGCCTCAGGGAGGGGCTTCTAGAAGGACAGGGGTCTCCTTTGGAGCAGCACCTGGGACGTTTGCTTGGCAAGGTTTCTTTGTGCGAAGTAACCGAAGCCAGTCAGGCCAATGGCGGCAGAGAGGAAAGGGATTTATTATTGGAACCAGGGTGTGCGGAGAAGCCTAAGGGCAGCTGGACCTGTGTTGATGTCCCAAAGGGCCCGGAACCCGGGAAGCTCTGCCCGCGGAGGGTATTCCTCTCCTTCTGAAGACCACCTCAAAGCTCAACTTTACGACCCACGCATGAGACCGCCCTGGGCTGAACTAAAATCTCACCATCCCAATTCGAGTTTCTGGGAATTATCAGCTCCATTCGCTCTCATTTAAATCCAGCTTTTTTCACGAGGTGAATAACAGGGCAGTTGACAGTTCCCAAGTTTTGTGTGTCCAGTCCGGTCCTGGAGGAACTCTTCTGCTCCAAGTCCAGCGATCCCAGGAGGGGGCCCACTGGTCCAGTACGGCTCAGTACCCAGCTCTGGATCCACAAGCTGAGGCTGGAAGGAGTGGTCATGAAGAACTCAGCATGAACGCAGCTGGGTACGAATTCCCAGAGGTGTCCTGTCCCTCCACGGTACCAAGGACCCCTCCTTTGAGAAACTGCTTCACTGAAGGCGCAGATGGAGGGAGGGGTGGGCAACAGAGTTGAGAAGGGTTCCGGGGACACGTGGCTCAGCCGGAGGAAGCAGGCTAGGGAGGGGCATTCAGAATGGCCAGATGACCTCGAGGGGAATGCCAAGCCTCAGCCCACTTTGCCTGTGGCTCCTGAGGATGGTCATGCTGTCAAGCTCAGAACAGTTGAGAAACTACCTTTCTGGGGCAGATTAGGGGACCAGCGGGCTTAGTTGCTGGTTTGCTGTGTGACCTATGACAAATTCTCTGGGCAGGCAGTCTGTGAAATGGGGACTCTAGTGTGATCAAAGACACAAGTGAATGAGAACTCTTTGAAATGTCTAAAGCACAGTGCCTAAGGCCTTCCCTGGCAAGACAGGGGGTCCCTGGTAGGCACTGTCCTATGGCATTAGGGCAGTAATTGGGCCAACCAAGCCTACAGGCCCGCAGCACCCCCTGTGGTGCTGGGCACTGCCTGCCCAACTCTACTCTTAGCCACAGGGTACCCTGGGAAAGTGTCAGGTGGTCTCATCCACCAAGAGTCATATAACATGGACATTTCAGGCCTGTGGCAGGGAGGGGACAAGGAGTGGTTTCTGCCAGGGAGGCCTCTCTGACTGCAGTTGCCTATGACAGGCTCCAGGTCTCAGGTCTCATAGAAATCCTGGCCTTGGGGGCTTAAGGCACAGCCAAAGGGGCCTCCCCTCTTCCCAAGTCTTTGCCCAGCCGCGATTGCCTAAGGCCTCTTTTTTTTTTTATTTTGAGACAGAGTCTGGCTCTGTCCTCCAGGCTGGAGGGCAGGGGGGCGATCTTGGCTCACTGCAAGCTCCGCCTCCTGGGTTCACGCCATTCTCCTGCCTCAGCCACCCGAGTAGCTGGGACTACAGGCGCCTGCCACCACATCCGGCTAATTTTTTGTATTTTTAGTAGAGACGGGGTTTCACCGTGTTCACCAGGATGGTCTCCATCTCCTGACCTCGTGATCTGCCCGTCTCGGCCTCCCAAAGTGCTGGGATTACAGGCTTGAGCCACCGCGCCCGGCCTTTTTTTTTTTTTTGAGAGAGTCTCACTCTCGCCCAGGCTGGAGGGCAGGGGGGCGATCTTGGCTCACTGCAACCTCTGCCTCCTGGGTTCAAGCGATTCTCCTGCCTCAGTCCCCTGAGTAGTTGAGATTACAGCCATGTGCCACCACACCCAGCTAATTTTGTATTTTTTAGTGGAAACAGGGTTTCCCCATGTTAACCAGGCTGGTCTTGAACTCCTGGCCTCAAGTCATCCACCTGCCTCAGCCTTCCAAAGTGCTGGGATTGCAGGTGTGAGCCACCGTGCCCAACTCACTGAGGCCTCTCAATTCAGCCTGTCTATGCCAGGACCTTTCAGCTCACTGGGCAGAGATGCAGGGCCTGACCTCAAGCTCTTGTACTGCAGAGTGAGGCTGTGAATCTGCCCCTGGCTGACTCGGCACAGTCTACACTGCCTGGGCACTGCCCCTGGCTTCCAACTTTTCTCAGATGCCCTTCCTTGGGCTCCAGGGCTGTGGCTGGGATCTGGGGGCAGTTAAGACAGAGGCTGATACCATGGGGGTCAGAGAAGCAGGGCAGGGGATAGCTTCCGCTCTGTCCAGGGACAGGAAGGCCAGCTCAGGAATCCTGCTGTGTGACCTATGACAAATTCTCTGGGCAGGCAGTCTGTGAAATGGGGACTCTAGTGTGATCAAAGACACAAGTGAATGAGAACTCTTTGAAATGTCTAAAGCACAGTGCCTAAGGCCTTCCCTGGCAAGACAGGGGGTCCCTGGTAGGCACTGTCCTATGGCATTAGGGCAGTAATTGGGCCAACCAAGCCTACAGGCCCGCAGCACCCCCTGTGGTGCTGGGCACTGCCTGCCCAACTCTACTCTTAGCCACAGGGTACCCTGGGAAAGTGTCAGGTGGTCTCATCCACCAAGAGTCATATAACATGGACATTTCAGGCCTGTGGCAGGGAGGGGACAAGGAGTGGTTTCTGCCAGGGAGGCCTCTCTGACTGCAGTTGCCTATGACAGGCTCCAGGTCTCAGGTCTCATAGAAATCCTGGCCTTGGGGGCTTAAGGCACAGCCAAAGGGGCCTCCCCTCTTCCCAAGTCTTTGCCCAGCCGCGATTGCCTAAGGCCTCTTTTTTTTTTTATTTTGAGACAGAGTCTGGCTCTGTCCTCCAGGCTGGAGGGCAGGGGGGCGATCTTGGCTCACTGCAAGCTCCGCCTCCTGGGTTCACGCCATTCTCCTGCCTCAGCCACCCGAGTAGCTGGGACTACAGGCGCCTGCCACCACATCCGGCTAATTTTTTGTATTTTTAGTAGAGACGGGGTTTCACCGTGTTCACCAGGATGGTCTCCATCTCCTGACCTCGTGATCTGCCCGTCTCGGCCTCCCAAAGTGCTGGGATTACAGGCTTGAGCCACCGCGCCCGGCCTTTTTTTTTTTTTTGAGAGAGTCTCACTCTCGCCCAGGCTGGAGGGCAGGGGGGCGATCTTGGCTCACTGCAACCTCTGCCTCCTGGGTTCAAGCGATTCTCCTGCCTCAGTCCCCTGAGTAGTTGAGATTACAGCCATGTGCCACCACACCCAGCTAATTTTGTATTTTTTAGTGGAAACAGGGTTTCCCCATGTTAACCAGGCTGGTCTTGAACTCCTGGCCTCAAGTCATCCACCTGCCTCAGCCTTCCAAAGTGCTGGGATTGCAGGTGTGAGCCACCGTGCCCAACTCACTGAGGCCTCTCAATTCAGCCTGTCTATGCCAGGACCTTTCAGCTCACTGGGCAGAGATGCAGGGCCTGACCTCAAGCTCTTGTACTGCAGAGTGAGGCTGTGAATCTGCCCCTGGCTGACTCGGCACAGTCTACACTGCCTGGGCACTGCCCCTGGCTTCCAACTTTTCTCAGATGCCCTTCCTTGGGCTCCAGGGCTGTGGCTGGGATCTGGGGGCAGTTAAGACAGAGGCTGATACCATGGGGGTCAGAGAAGCAGGGCAGGGGATAGCTTCCGCTCTGTCCAGGGACAGGAAGGCCAGCTCAGGAATCCATTTAGAACCAGTTAACAGCCTGAGCTGGAAGGGCCTTTCTAGCCTTCTGTTTCCCCTCTACAACCTGCAGACGGGAAGGCCATGGGACAGAAAGGAACTGGGCAGAGGTCACTCCCCACCCCATCTAGAGGGTCCCCATATGCTACCTTTCAGGGGCTGTGAAGTGGAGATGGCTGGAGGCTCCTGTCCTCCTGGTGCTGCAGCCCTTGGTGCTCACACCTGCAGCAGGTCCCACTCCCTGAGGACATAATTCTCAGCTTGAGAGTCAGAACTCTTAGGGTCTCCCAGACGCCATCGGTGGCTCTGACCCTCTTTTATGAAAGCCTCCAAAGAGCAGCTGAGGCAGAGGACAGCATCCCCCACCCTACTGAGCTCCTCACTGCAGGAGCTCAAAGACGATGACCTTGGTCAGAATGAAATGGTATTTAAGCACAAGCCAGTAGCTGTCGCCAGCCTGGGAATGTGCTGTATTGTCTGTCACTGGCAGCTCTGCATTACATCAAACTATTTCCTGAATATCCCAAGAAGTGCAAACAAAGCCTTGCAGATTGAACATTGCATAAAATAGGCTTTGTGCTGGGCATGATGGCTCATGCCTGTAATCCCGGCACTTTGGGAGGCCGAGGTGGGCGGATCACCTGAGGTCGGGAGTTCGAGACCAGCCGACCAACAAGGAGAAACCCCATCGCTATTAAAAATACAAAACTAGCCGGGCGTGGTGTGCATGCCTGTAATCCCAGCTACTCAGGAGGCTGAGGCAGGAGAATCACTTGAACCCAGAAGACGGAGGTTGCAGTGAGCCAAGATCATGCCACTACACTCCAGCCTGGGCAACAAGAGCAAAACTCCATCTCAAAAAAAAAAAAAAAAAAAAAAAAACCCTTTGTGACTAAAGCCCATATGCAGCCGCCCCTGGGCACATATATGTGATTTTATGACTTTGGTACTGACTCAGCCTAACTGGACCCCAGATACAGGAGAAACCAAGGAGGACGGAGAACATAGGCACGGTCCTCGGTGCACTGTGTCCCATGTCATCCTCACATCAATCCCACGTCATAGGTACTGTCTGTGTTCCCATGTTACAGAGAAGGATACTAAGGCTTAGCGAAGGCAAGACTTGCTCATGCTCGCCAAGCTCGGGAGTGGTGGAGAGTGAAGTATAAGACTTCTTGGTTCTACGGCCACTCTCCTTCCATCCATTGCTCCAGGTCCAGGGGCCCATATGGCCTGATTCCCTGTGCCCCACAGCCTACCCTGCCATACCCCTCCTGCTGCTGCTTCCCCTCTTCAGAGAGAAGGCAGACCAGGAGATAGATCAGGCCTCAGGCTGCTGCTCAGTCCCACCCGTCCTAACCCCTGTGGGGATGAGATGGCAGCCTCCACAACATGTCCCTAAATGCCTCTGCCCCCCTGCCCCAGGTTCTCAGAGAAGAGGGAGAACTGTGGGGGCTGAGGAGTATCTGGGAGGGAGGGTGGGGTTTCTCCCCCCAGAGCCCCTCAGACGCAGGCACCCATCACCCTGCGGTCATTGCTTCTCTACCAGCTCCTGTTCAGCTGCTGCTGCTGCAGCCTCAGTTTCTCAGGGAGACTCTCCACCAGCTTGCAGGTGGGTGGGGGGAAACAGTGAGTACATTCCAGGCTGAGCCCTTTCCATGGGCAGCGAGGGCTTGGGAGGAACTTGAGTGACGAGTGTGAGGAAGGGAAGGTCAAGGCCATGGTAGGCACCATGTGGCGGGCACCAGGGATCGGGCATGGGGGAGCCTGTGGGGGCCAGTCAGAAGCACACTGCAGGGGGACAGCTGCTGAGCACCTGGTCCTGGACAGCCTCCAGGACCCACTGCTGAGCTCTCAGCTCTGAGTCTCAAGCTTCCAGCACACTGCAGACCTCGAGCTCAGTCCGCATCTCAGCCAGCTGTAAACCCATCTGCAAAGAAGTCTGGGATGTAGGAGGGTGGGGCTGCAGCATGTCTTGATCTGGGGCCTCCCCAAGAACTTTACTCTCCCTTGGATTCAGAGCTCCAGCCTCACAGGGGCCTTTCTAGGGACTGTGCTTCACCCCAAGGAGGCCCCCATGGCGGTATCAGGTGCAGTGCTGACGAAACAGCACCAGGGGAGGGGGCAAGAGGGCTCACCTTCCCCTCCAAGCTGTGCAGGTGACTGAAGTCCAGAACACTTGCCCTGAACCCCTAATCCTTCACTTCCCTCTTTTACCCTGATTCCCGCAGCACTCCCCATACGGCTAGTACTGCCTAGCCCAGGAGCCCCTGAGCAGGCCTCACATTGCCCTCCATCTCCACATCCTTCCCAGGGTCCCCGTACAGGTTCCCTGCACAGGGCTAGGCCCGCAGAGCCTTGCTCCCCAACGCACTTGTTTCATCACCTCCATTGCTGAGTCCACCCTGCCAAGGAGTGATGCCTAGTCCCCTCTCAGGGCCACGCTGAGGTTGTACGAGGACAGGGCAGCCGGGGTTCCAGGCCTGGGATGAATCTAGGCTGAGTCCTCGGTGCTCAGTGGAGAACCCCCAACCCAATTCATTGGTTCCAACAAGCCAAGCTCCCTACACCATCCCCTGCCCTGCCCAGCCCAGGCCCTGTCTTCACTTCACATGGCCCCTGTCTCAGCTCCTCCAGCTCTTGGAAACAAGGGCCCAGTGTGGTCCCAGAGGGCCCAGTCCACATGGCAATGGGAGACCACAGCCAAGTTCTCTGCCTGGGAGGTCCCACTTCCATCCAGCCTGATCTCAGGGAAGGCAACCAGGGCTGCCCCACACTAGCTCTCACCGCTGGAGGGGGCTGTCCCAGTTCCACCCCAGTCTGCCCTTGAGCTCACCCATTGGCCTCTGGTAGAGTCCACACTGCAGACTCCAGTTCCTTGGCAGACCTGGGGTCCCACAGCTCCTGGGGTATGGGAGACAGAAACGATGCTGGGATGTGGCAGGGACAGTAGGACCCTGTCCCCTTGCCCCCACCCCGTTCTGTGCATCATTAGCTCCACCAAGGCCACTGGGCAACTCAGCTGGGGCACAGGCACAGTTCTATAGAGCTGGGGAGACTGTGATGCAGGGACAGTGACCCAGTGAGTAAACTGAACAGGGTCATAGGATTACTGAGTGTCAGAGCTTCCAGAGTCCCCCAGGCACCACACCCAAAGTACAGATGGAACCTGAGCCCCAGAGCAGTGAGGGGCTTGGCTAAGGCCACTGGCCAGTTTGTGGCAGAGCTGGGACTGGAATCTCCATTGGTGTTTGTGGAACCCCTGTCGCTTGACCAGCCAGTGAGGATTCCCAGTGGCTCCACCCACAGGCTGTGGGGCCGGAGGTGTGTGGGTGGGGCTTGGCTGGTGCCCACTCAGGTAAATACCTGTGTAGTACCCAGGAGAAGCCACAGTGGGCTGGGTGGTGCAGGGGTGAGGTGAGACCCACCTTCCCTTTGCAGACTCTGGAGCCTGGCCTGGGGTCTCTGCTGGGGTCTGCCCTGTGGGAAGAAGGCAGGTGGCTGCCCTCCCTTCAGGCTGGCAGGATTGTCCAGATCCTTTGTGTGTGTGTGGGTGAGAGAGAGTTTTTGCTCTTTTTTGCCCCGGCTGGAGTGCAATGGCATGATCTCGGCTCAATGCAACCTCTGTCTCCAGGGTTCAAGTGATTCTCCTGCCTCAGCCTCCCAAGTAGCTGGGATTACAGGCACGTGCCACCACGCCTGGTTAATTTTTTGTATTTTTAGTAGAGACAGGGTTTCACCATGTTGGCCAGGCTGGTCTCAGTCTCTTGACCTCGTGATCCACCCACCTCAGCCTCCCAAAGTGCTGGGATTACAGGCATGAGCCACGGCGCCCGGCCAGGATTGTCCAGATCCTTATGTACCTGTCCTTGGGTGGGCAGGCTCAGGCCACCCTGACCTGGGGGCACCCAACCCTCACCCCTAGCAGCTGGTGCTGAGGGTTCTGGTGCCAGTGGCAGCCAAAGTCCTGCTCCTGCCCACAGGCACCCAGCTCAGGCTGGAGGGCAAGGCCCTTTCTGTTCATGGACAGATGGGCCATAGTAGCCCTGGAGGCCCCACACCCCTGGGCCTGAGCACCCTGGTACTCAGGGCCAGGGTGGGGAGCTTGGGACCCATTAAACACACAGGAAGCTGAGACCCCATGAGAAGAGCTGTGGCTGTGGTACAGCCCGGGCCTCCACTTTATTGCACAAGTCCCTAACTTCAGGCTTGGGGAGGGCTCTAGGGTCCTCAGGAGGGGTTCTTTGGGGGCCCTGACTGTAGGTGGGGCCACCTCACACCACCCCAAGCAGCCAGCTCCTGCCTACCTTTCGCCTCTGGATCCCAGCAGCCATCTGGTTGTTCTCCCTCTCCAGAGCCTGCATCCTGCTCCTGTGGCTGGCCAGGGAGGGGCAGGCTGCATTCCCATCTAGGGGCCCTGCTACCCCATCCTCTTATGCCTGCAGAAACCCTCACCCTGGTTCTTGGGTTTGGGCAGGTCCAGCCTGCAGAGGGAAGCGGATCTCCTCCTGGGCCCTGGCCTGCCCTCCCTGGCTGGCGTGTGGACTAGGGGCCTGGGGACTCACTGGGTGGTGCCCACCCAGACTCACGGCAGCTCCTTCAGCACACACTCTGGCCTCTCTGCAGCTGCGTGAGGGTCCTGTGGTTACATGATGGGAAAAGCAAGAGGGAGCAGCTGGGGGCCTGAGGTCCCAAGTCACACCCAAACCAAACCACCCAGCCAGGAAGGTAGCAGGAAGCAAATTGGAGGCGTTCTGGGTTGAACTGCATCCCCTGCAACAACAAAAAAATATACTGACGTCCCCAATACCTCCTAATGAGACAGAATCGTTACAGAGGTAATCAGACTAAAATGAAGTCAATAGGCTGGGCTTTCATCCAAGGTGACCAGTGTCCTATACCAAGGGGAAATGTGGACACAGGCACACACACAGGGAGATGCCACACAGACATCCCTTGCCCAGGAGGAATGTCAAAGACTGCTGGCAAAGCACCAGAAGCTGGGGGCAAGGCCTACAACAGACCCTCCCTCACAGCCCTCAGGAGGAACCAACCCTGCCGACACCCTGACGTGAACTTCAGTCTCCAGAACCAAGAGACGATGAATGCCTGCCGTTGAAGCTAGCATCTTCAGCACTTTATTACCACAGCCCTAGCAAACTCACAGAGGGTAAGTGGGATCCAGCCCCATGTGGCAGCTCTCTGGCCCTGAAAGGACCCTGATTTCGAGCAGAACTTTCTCCTCAAAGCGGCCACACGGCAGCACCAGGAAGTGTGCAATCAGTGGCTGATGCTTCATGACTGAATACCATGTGTTTTCACATGCTTGTCAAATGTCACCCTCTTAGGCACCCATTCAGGGAAGATAACTGTTATTTTCACTTTTACAGATAAGGCCCAGAGAGGCAGAGTAACTGCCCAAGGTCACACAGCTAGTATATTGTGGAGCCAAGATTTAATCCCACAATCTTAGCCACTAATCTGGGGACAGTGCAGACTACTGAATCCTGGGATTGAAGACAGACTGAGGTAGAGACCCAGAGAGGGTTGGGTGGAGGAGCTTGAAGCTGGGGATGGGACTGGAGGTGGAGCGTACCAGAGGCCCTGGGAGCACTGGGCGTCGAGCCCTCAAACCCCCTGGACAGCCAGACGTTCATGTAATATGGCTTCGTCCAGACCCTAACCAGCTGCTGCCCCATCTCTGAGAGCCTCACCCTGCTGGAAGCGTGCTGCTAGTCTGGTCCATCAGCCACTCTGCACAGGACCCCTGCCTAGGACCCAGGGTCTGCATTTTAGGCCATCCTCACTGGATAGGCCCAGAGCCCAGGGTCCCCACCTGCCCGTAGATGAATCCTGGGTTGGCCTTCTAGGGGTCCAGGGAGGGAGCAGAAATGGCCTGGGCAGTCTCTGAGGGGCTGGAAGGCCCTACACATGGGGCCCAAATTGGCACTGGCTTATGCATCATGTGCAGGCTAAGTGCATCTGGCTCACCTAGCACCACTTCCTGCTAGGAGACGAATCTGCCGAGGGCCCAGCCCTCTGTCACTCCACTACCTTCTCACTGACACCATCCATTGCAGATACTCAGACTTGACCAAAGAATATAGCTCATCCAGGCCCTGAGGATATATCCTCTGACCCTCAAGGGTCTGGTTTGAGAAATAGACAAAAAACAAAAACAAACAAACAAACAAAAAAAAAACCTGAGCTTTTCTTCTGTACAAATATATAATGGCAGACTATACTTCTGATTTTAGGAACAGCCCCCTCTGAGCACAGCTGTGTACCTGTTTGAGCTACACTGATTTAGACCAACTCAGCCTTTTCTGAGGCCCAAGGCCAGCTAAACTTTCTCTCCTTTTCCTTCCACTGCGATCAGCACATCAGCTTTGGTCGGGGGTCTTGTGGCAGTGTGTGGATCCCACCTGGGGTCCTTAGAACACTACTTCCCTATGGCTCCCAGGCACCTCATTGCAATCATAATGGCTAATGTCTGTCTCTCTCTCTGTGTCTGTGTGTGTGCATATCTGGGGGTGTCTGCACATGTCTGATATGTATCTTGGGGGGGTATATGGGCATGCATGTCTGTGTGTCTGTCTGCCCATGCATACATACACTTGCCCAGGAGACTTAAGGATGCTGACCAGGAGAAGGCAGCCACCAAGCTGGAGTTGAGTCAGATGGACAGGAGCTGGGACATCTAAACCCTAGATGTGGCCCCTGTCCCATGTCCATAGTAACCCCTGCACCCACTCTCCTCCTCATTTGGATCAGGGACTATTTACAACACTCCTCACCTGTCTCTCTGGGTGTATGCGCATGCAGTTTCCTCTTGCTGAAATGCCCTTCATTCCCTCTCTCCTCCTAGAAATGCCTGTCTATCCTGTGTGAGGGTTCAGAGGCTCAGAAACCCCTTCTCTGGGAGGGACTCTCCTATCTGCCACCCCTTAACCAACTCCCATTGTGCCTCTTCCCTCATCTGGCACATTAAATTATCATTGCTTAGAAAATAGGCACAGTGGCTCATGCCTGTAGTCTCAGCACTTTGGGAGGCCAAGGTGGGAGAACTGCTTGAGGTCAGGAGTTCGAGACCAGCCTGAGCAATGTAGTGAGACCCCCCCATCTCTACAAACAAAAACAAAAACAAACTTAGCCAGGCATGGTGATGCGTGCCTGCAGTCCCAGCTACCTGAGGCAGGAGGATCGCTTGAGTCCAGGAGTTCGAGGCTGCAGTGAGCTATGATTGCACCACTGCACTTCAGTCTGGGTGACAGAGACTGTGATGCAATCAATCAATCAATTATAAATCAACCAATAATAAATAAATAATTGCTTGCTCAATTACCAGGTGCCCGCAAACCATAAGCTGTTGAGGACAAGGAGTGATCTGATTTGACATTGCTTCTGCACACAGAAGAGGGCCAAGCATGTAGCAGATGCTCAATAAATGCATGTTGAACACATGGATAGAGAATGATGAGGCATGATGAGGAAGAGCCAGAAAATGGGAAGGAAGTATAGGATCAAGATGGGGGCATCCTAACGAGGGGGTAAGAGATTAGTTGGTTTGTATGGGAAAGACTGGGCAGTGGGGAAGACAATGGGGAGAACAGGGTTGTGGGGGGTGGAGAAGAAGGAGAGAGACAGAGAGTGCCCACCTGGGGAGGCCAGGTCCCACTCTGCCTCTGGAGTCTCTGCAATTCCTCCTCTTTAAATTTCAGGGCAACTGCCACCTGGTGCCAGCGTGTCCTCCAGTACTCAGCCATCTCCTCATGAAGCCTGGGATGTGATTCTTGTGCTTCTAGCTGTTTCCTGAGGGGCACTGGTACCTCCGGGACCTGGAGTGTACTGGAAGAAATGGGGCAGTCCAGGTATAGCATGGACCCCAGATCACCCCCACCCCACTCCCTTTCAATGATTATTATGTCTTATGAGCTAGGACAGGGAGTGGGGCAGAGATGCCTCTTTCATGGCTCCCTGAACACACAGAACCCCTCTGTACTGGGCACTTCCACTCTCAAGCACCCTGACTTGCACCCAGCAGCTAAGGTCATCTCACCCCCACCTCCCACCTGCCCCTGGGCCAGCAGGAGGGGCTTGGCCATGTGTAGGCGAGACAGGACTTCTTGAAGCTGAAAGATTTCCCACCCCATAAGAGTCAGAATGTGAAAACCAGGAGCGCTGATACCTGGGGAAGGAAGACTGGCTCTGGTCAAGTGATTCCAGGTTTAGGGCTCTGGGCCATTCCCTCTCAGCCAGTTGGTGACAGAGGCTGGCCCACCGCCTGCTGAGAGGGCCATCTCACCCGTGGTGAAAACAGAGCACCCACCCCAGCCTGGCTTGGACAGTCTGAGGATGGGCCCAAGCAGCCACCTACCAGGCCTCTTGGCCCGGGGCCACACCCACTACTGCTAGCAGCACCACCTTCTCCAGAAGTAGCCAGGTGCGCTCTGCCTCCAGGGCCTGCACACAGCCCCCCAACACCATCTGCTCTCCCTACAGATGCTGCAAATGCTCCAAGCAGGCCCCAGTTGCTGGGAGCTCCGGCCCAGCTCTTCTGAGAGTCTCTTGTTCACCTGGGGAGACCTCTACCCCACCCAGTGGTGGCTCAGCCTCCACCAGGGTTGTGGGGCTCCAGCCTTTACCCATGCAGCCCCTTCTTCTCCTCAGAGGCCCCAAACTCCACTTCATGTGGGTCTCAGCCCTTCCAGGAGGCCTCTCTAACCACCCTAGCCCGCAGTCTCCTCTACACTCCAGGCGATGACTCTGAACCAGCGCCTGGCTGCACACTAGCAGGGGGGCCAGTTATGTGAGGACGAGGATGGTGCTCTCTGGAGTCTCACTGTGTGGACGCGCTGCTAGAATCTGTCTCTCCTTGTCATTCTCCTTTCCTCTGTGCCCCTAGACCCCCTCGCCCTACATTGGAATCCCCCAGGAATGGAGCCCAGGCTCCCTTGCCTCTGCCCCCTGGTACAGATGGGCATGGCCTGGATCAGCTAATGCCCAGATTCCCTTTCCTGTGGGGCTGCCCCTGCCAGCTGTCTTGACCAACCTCAGTGAGCATCAGTAACTGTTCCTGCAGATGGACTGTGTCCTGAGCCTGGGCAGGGGTCTCAGCTGCTGGCATGGAGACTCTGTCTGGGTCCCAAAGCTCCTGGGCCCTGCCTCCATCCCAGCTCTGCTCTTGGATCTGCAGGCTTGGCACCAGCATCTCCTGTGGATACACTTGGTCCAGAATCCTGGGGTCTCCTTCCAGCTTCCAGACCACACTGGGGTAGTCTAGGCAGACCCTTGATGCCTCAGGGCATGTTGTGGCAGGGTCCTGGCCCCAACTCAAGTTATGACTCTGAACAAGCTCTCCTCTGCCCTCTGGTCTCAGTTTCCCATCTGAACCAGGAGGGAAGTCACTGAATGATCCCAGGGTATTCCCAAATGTTGGAAGAGGATCCCTCTCTGGGTTGGACTAAGCCCCTGTGCTGCCCTCCTTCTCCAGATAATGCTCCAATAATGAGGACCAGAGAATAAAGTGTAGGGCAGGGTCAAAGGTATGGCAGGGCCAGTGCTCACGGCCTGCCATGCACCCACTGGGGTATCCCCGGGCTGGGCTCTGGGCCAAGAGGCTGTTGGGTCATCTGGTCCAAACGCCGCTGGGCCTTTTCCACTTCTGTCTGCAGCAGCAGGATCCTGTGGGTAGAAGGGACTGTCTGCCTGTTCCCTGCCACCCTACCCCTCCCCTACAGCCCAGCCCCACTCACTTGTCTTCTATGTCCTGGTCTAGCCTCCTCCACTCAGCCTGTCCCTGGGATCCCTGCCTTTGGTGCCTCTCCTGCTCCAGACAGGCCAGGGAGCACTCCACCTGCTGGGAGGAGGCTGAGTGGGAGGGTCAAAGGCAGCACAGAGCCTCGGATAGGTAGGCGTAGCTTCCCTGCCTCCCACCAGGCAGGGCAGTGTCTGCAGCCTCTGATAACACAGGCGGACTGGCAGCCAACAGCCCAGCTGACAGCCCAGCATGGACCCGTGCCCTGGGGCCCTGAGGGGCTGCTTTCGGCTGTTATCTATCACGACAGGCTCCAGCTGTGCATCCTCTGCCTCCAGCTGGGCCCGAGATACACTGCCTCTCCAGCTGCTCTCCAGCTGCTGACGGGTTTCAGGGTGGAGGCCAGCAGAACTGCTGTGGCATGCTAAAGGGCGGGCAGACATGAGGTTGTCAACTAGGTCCCAAGGGTCCCCCAGGCCTAGTAAGGGAGCAGTGGCTCCAGGAGGGCCAGCTGTGAGCTAAGACACGGAGTCACTGAAGGCTTGGGTAACTGGGCCATCACACGGTCCCTTTCCCTCACACGAGGTAGGGATGTCCCTACCCTCACACGAGGTAGGGATGCTGGTAATCTTCCCAAGAACCCTCAGCCTGCACAGTCATCTCCCCCTCTCTGGGGATCGCCTGTTTCACTTGGAGAGATTGCGCTTCTAAGGAAGCTCTTCAGTCTATGGAGCTAAAACCAGCCCCTCCCTCCCTCAGATTCTCCCTGGGGGGCCACAGGGACCCTGGCCCTTCCTTCACCTCCAGCGCTGTCCCTAGCCACCATGAGCATATGCCTCCCAGGCAACACCCTGCACCCTTCCAGGGGTACCATTCAGAGACATCTCTGTTCAACACCGCAGCCTTGCTGGGGACTCCATTTCCCTTCCTCTGGGTGCCCCAGACCCCGGCAGGCCTCCCTGAGAATATGGCACTAGATGTGGACACCGGCTCTGCGCATTCTGGAGCTTTCAGCCTGCTAAGGAGATCTCGGTAGCTCAGGGGACCTCCTTTCAGCTACAGAAAGCCCAGGAAGAAGGAGTGGGGGAGGACAGGGCCTCACTTTCTGCTTTAGGACCAGCTGAGTCCCAGCTCATGCTCTCGCCTCTGCAGCACAAGGGCTTGCTCCGAAAGGGCCTCCAGCACTGCCCGAAGATGGTTGGCCAGCTTGGCCCTCTGCCGCCTGCTTTCTGCCAGCTGCTCCCACTGGTCCTTCTCTGACTGCCTCCAGTCCTGCTCGGGGGCCCTGTTGGAGCACCTGCCAGGGAGAGCGGAGCCAGACTTCAGCCCGGGGCCAAGGGAGCTGCCGTGCCCAACTTCCCTATGCTCACCTGCACCCTTCAGTGGGGCCTGGTGGGCAGACATGGTCCAATGCCCCAAGGAAATAGGAGCTCTGGAGACAGCGGGCAGGGCTGGGCATCAAGTCCATAGGCTCTGCCTCAGTGGGCCCTGAGAGCAGGACAGATCAGGGGCAGTCCTGGCTTCCCAAAGCACCAGGCTCTGAGGCCTCTTCTCAGACTCAGAATTGAGGCAGTGTGGCTGAGCACGCACTAAAACCCTTCAACCCTGATCCTCTAGCCCGAAAGTCTCCTGGTGATTGGAACTTCACTAAACACCAGCCTCAACTCCACTAAAGAGTTCTCAATTCCCTGTGGTTTCCATGAGCTGTGGGTGCTGCCAGGGGTGGCCACTTGCTAAATAAACACAAACCCCATTATCCTCACAGCAGCAGGTCTGGGGAGGTGCAGCAGGCACTCCTGAAGGGAAGCCGGTGCCCAAGTTTGGCAGGGAGTCCCGTGAGGAGCTGCAATTCCCACCCAACACTGTCTGCACCAGAGCCCCATTCCCCCTTCCAGTGTGGGAGTCTGGAAATGGCAGGGAAGCATTTGGGGGACCCCACAGTTTAGCTATGATGTGGGTGTCAGAGCCTTTAAGTCAAGTCACTGCTCAGGTACCTCTCTGCCTTCCATAGCTTCAGCTGTAAGATGGAGGCCCTGACGGATCTCTCACCCACCAGCTTGGTGAGGGAGGTCAGAGGGTAGACAGGGGCTGTTCTGCCAGTGTTGCCATCCCTACACCCCTCACCATCACCCTCCTCACCTCTAGGGTCTGGGCCCAAGTCCACTGCCTCCCGACTCCCAACCCTGGGCATGAGGCACCCTGCCCAGGCTCTGAAAGTACACAGGCGTTGTCTTCACCTAAGCAGTGGGTACACCTGGCACCTCTACCACCCCCACCCTGACCTCCCCACTCCTCACATTCCCAGGCCTTCTCCACTCAGGATGGCACCATCGCCCACCAGGCCTTCTCCCCACTGGACAGCTTAACTCTCCTCTCCCCTTACTCCAGGCCCAGGCTCCTGCAGCCCCTCCAAAATTGCCTCCCCTCCAAAATATCACTGCCACACAAGGCTTCTCTAAGATGGACCATGAAGACTGGCCCTGCCCCCACCTCCTGTACTGGGCACAGTTCCCACAATGCCACTGTGCCTAGGCACTGTCTTGCCAGTCAGTAGTGACGGGTTTTCCATGGCAGCCCCCTGCCCTTAGTGAGAACCTGAGCTGTGCCCAGCTTGGTCTGGGAGGGGCTCATGGTCCACAGAATGGAGTGCACATGCAGGCCAGATTGTCCTGAGCAGCGGGGCAGGCCAGGGCAGCCCCAGGAAGGCTTTCCAGGGAGGTGACCCTGGAGCCAAGGCTCAGAGGTGAATCAACTGCCTCCAGAGAAGTCACAGTCAGATGAGGCAGACAGAGGAGAGTAAGGACAATAGGACAAGGAGGGCATCAGAGCAGCTGGGCCTGGCAGGCAGTGAGCTGAGCCCTAAGCTCGGTGGAAGTGGAGGTGGGGGGCAAAAGGGAGACCAAGAGGGGTGAGAGGAACTGTGGGGTTTGGGAGGATGCAGGGCACCGGCACCTCCCCAGGTGCCCTTGAGATATGCTGCAGTCCTCACCTCCACAGAGGCTGAGGACTGAGACAGGAGCTTGGGCCTGAGGGGCAGTGGAGGTGCAGCAAGCCTCTTCTGGGGTGGGGATGGGAGAGGAGGAGTTACTCAAACCTCACCTGGGGGCACATCTTTCTCCAAGTGTCTGAAAGCTGTGAAAGCCACAAAAGAATGAAACTCTAAGGGTAGAATGCCAGGCAGGATGGCCTCCAGGCTGCAAAGTGTGGAGAGGGAGAGAGCTGGGAGATAGCTTCTTTTCCACCTCAGAAAAAGAGAGTTGCTTCGTGACTGGGAGGCAGGGACTCCTGGATTCTTAATGGTAGGCAGTTTGGTAGGAAGGTGACTAACTTACCCCATCAGAGCCTGGAGCTCAGGGCAGGGCTGGGGACAGGAGCTTCTCTGAGAACATCCATTCCTCAGGGCTGGTATCCTGGAGCCATGGAAACTCAGGCAACACTAAGTGGTGGGAGGAGGAGACACCACAGAGGCCTCCCACCTCATCTGAGCTGATGAAACCCTGGGATGGAACCTGGCTAGTGTGGCTGAGGCCATGGGGACCAGGCAGGAATGGCATCTCAGACAGCCTGGGATTTTTCAATATCTTCAGCTTTTGAGGTAGCACCTTATGGGGCAGGACCTCAGCAGCCGATCTGGGTCACCCACTGTACACCGAAGCGGCTCCTGACTTTCTTTTTTGAGATGGAGTTTCGCTGTTTTGCCCAGGCCGCAGTGAAGTGGCCTGATCTCGGCTCACTGCAATCTCTGCCCCCCCGGTTCAAGTGATTCTCCCACCTCAGCCTCCCCAGCAGCTGGGACTACAGGCGCGTGCCACCACGTCCAGCTAATTTTTGTATTTTTAGCAGAAATGGGGTTTCGCCATGTTGGCCGGGCTGGTCTCGAACTCCTGACCTCAGGTGATCCATCCACTTCAGCCTCCCAAAGTACTGGGATTACAGGCGTGAACAACCGCACCTGGCAGATTTTTTTATTGTTTTTTGAGACAGGGTCTCGCTCTGTCGCCCAGGCTGGAGTGCGGTGGTGGGATCACAGCTCATTGCAATCTCAACCCCCTGAGATCAAGGGATCCTCCTGCTTCAGTCCGCTGCAAGGGGCTGGAACTACAGGCACGCGCCACCAAGTCCGGCTAATTTTTGTAATTTTTTGGAAGGGGACCTAGTTCTGAATTAGCGTCTATTGTTTACTTCCGGTAGCCGTGGTGGAGCTGGCAGAGATTTGGGGGATACTAAACACCCCTACAAATCATGCTGTGAGATCCCCCGTTTCAGGGAGAGCCGCTGGCGAAGGACTTGAAGCACAGTCGCAGCTTGGAGGGGGGCCCCCCTGCGACAGCGTCCCACGTCAGGGGCGGGCCCAGCCCCGCGGGGGAGTGGGTATGGGCTGGGCAGCGGCTGGCCGGCCGGTGGGGAGCCCCACGGTGGTGGGGAAACCCTTGGCGCCCCCGCGGAGCGGTCCCGAAGAGGGGGCGGTGCCTGGAGGGATGGTCCGCCCCGACTGAGGGTTTCTAGCCCTCGCGTGGCGTGGGGACAATTAGGCGCCACGCCCTGTCGCTCCGCTGCACGACGCTCGCGAGGCCGGGGACGCCACTCCCAGACCGGGAGGGACGCGCACGCTCACAGTGAGGTCTCTTAAAAGAGCCCCACCTCAGTTTTCTCATCTGCAAAGTGGGGCCTCGTAATCCTGCCCGACCTGGCGCGGGACAGTAGGTGTCAGGGATTTTGGTGACCTCACGCTCGAGGCCTCTGCAAAACGGGGCTGTCCAGTGGCCCGGAGATGCGGCTGGCGGGGGTTTTGTCTGGCGGGGGAGTCTTAACGGAGAGGCCACGCAGGCTGGCAGGAAGCTGCTCCACCCGAGGGGGCTCAAGGAGAGGGGATCTCCTCCCCGCCAGACCCCGGCCCCGCCGACAGGCCCCGCCAGAGTAGCTCTAGGGTGTCTTCCCAACAACTGCCCCGCACGCACTGGCTAGCTGGGAGCCCCACCACGGCTTTCGAAAAACCCGCACACACCAAGACAATGTGTCGTTCGCTCGTTTCGCGCAAGCGGAGTCGCGTCCGCCTTCCCGAGCCCCAGCGCACAGACCTCAGGCCGCTCTCGCGCTCTCCGGGGCCCCGAGAACAATGCCCGTCCTCTCCGCGCGCAGAAGGGAGTTGGCGGACCACGCGGGGTCGGGGCGACGGAGCGGGCCCAGCCCCGCGGCCGGGTCGGGGCCCCACGTCTCGGCTCTGAGAGCCCAGCCAGCCCGGGCCGCGCACCTGTCAGGTCGGGGAACCTACGTGCGCCGCGACACGGCGGGAGGCGGGCCGGGCCGGGCCCGTCCCCTCGACCCTCCCGGAACTAGTCTCCGAGGCCGCGGCGCCCACCGGAGCGGAGAGGGCTGGTGTCCCGGAGCCTTCGAGTCGGGGGCTAGAGCGGCCAGGCCTCCGAGCCGGGTCGAGCCGCGGCTCGCGACGCCTGCGTCACGCGAGGGGGCGGGGCCGCCACGGGCGGAGGTCGCAGCCGGAAGCGGAAGAAGCGCTCGGAGCGGGGAGTGGGGCCTAGCTGCAGCCGGAGCCTGGGAGACGGTAAGTGTGGGCTGGGGCCCGCGGCGGCGACAGCGGTGGCGGCGGCCGGGGGTGAGTTGGCAGGGCAGGCGCGCTGGTGCCATTCGGTCTCGGCTTATTCCCTTTCTTTCTCCTCTTCGGCCCACCTCGGGCCGCGGCCTCGACCTCTCACCCCTGACCCGCTGCTTCTGCCCCGGAGGGCGGTCACTGCAGACCCTGACCTCGATTCCGCGGTGTTGAAGGCGGAGCCTGAACGGTCTCTGGGGCCGCTCAAGAGTCCAGTTTAGGCTTTGTGCCTGCCCGCGGAATGGGGTCGGGTCCGACGTGGAATAGCCAGAGACCCTTCAGACACCTCCCCTACCCCTGGCTTCAGACTTGGTCCACAGACGACTCCTCCCTTGGCGGCCTGGAGTTTGATTCTGGCCCAGTTCGGCTTTGCCTCTGCCCCCAGGTTTCCCCTCGGCGCCACTGGTGGGCGGTTACAGGAGAGGGGACTCTGAGACCCCTGGGACCTGGCGCGGCAGGAAGGGACGCGAACTATAGCGCAGGCCCCCTTGTGTGTTTTGTTGTGGTGATGGAGCCGCTCCAGCCCGGGGGATGGGCTAGGCCAAGCTGACAGTACAAATCCCCTGGCTGCTCCTCCGTCCTGCCGGGAGTCTCTAGCTTTAGTTCCGGGTGTGGGTGCCCTGATGTGGAGCTGGGGTGGAAATTGCCTGAACCAGGCCCCCAGCAGAGGCGGAGTTGGCGGCCTTCCAGCTTCCCTCCTTGATGTCCTTGAAAAGAAGAAGCGTTTCACCCGTTGGTGGTGGAGGCTTGCTAGGTGGCAGGTTTGAGGTTGCAGTGGTAGGGCAGTGCCAGCCAAAAATAACCATGGGTGCTGGGGTGGCTGGAATCTGGGAGGGCAGCCGCTGACCTGGCTGGCTGCACTTCTAGTCAGCCCAGTTCTCTGGCCAGGAACAGCAAATGAGAAGCCGACAAGGCCTGTACTCAAAGTTGACATCCCTGGCTTGGTTTCCTTCACATCACCATTTTCCTTATTGTGCAGAGCAGAGCTTCCCAAAGCATAATTGTGGCCTTTAGCTGCTTTTTAAACAAGCTGTTTGCTGAGGTTTTAGAGAATCAGAAATAATTGAGAAATAGGCCCTAGAGCCCTGGCTGGGAGGATGATATCTGCTATTTCTAATATTTTACTTGCCTAGAATGTGTTAAAGGAAGGATACTCTTTATTACTGCTTTGTGTGCGGTACCTTATAACTCTCATACTTCTCAGCTCTTTTGCCAGGCTGGGAAATGTTATCTCCGTTTTCCAGGCATGCTAACCAAGGCCTAGAGTGCCTTGTGTAAGGTCATGAAGCTGGTATGTGACAGCACTAGGATTTAGAGTTTTCTGCCAGAGCTCTCTCCTCCCAGTTTCCTTGGAAGGGACTTATAAAATGTCTGTAAGGCGTTTAACACACCCCTGAAGTGTTACCTGGAACTTTTAAATGATTCATGAAAAGCTGCCACTAGTACCTCTGTGGGCACAAAGCTGTGCTAGGCATTTCACTTACAGGACAGACATATTTTATCCTCATAGAACCTTGTAAGAGATTACTATTCCCTTGATGCAAGAGGAAGCTGATGGTCAGAGTAGTGTAATAATTTGTTCAAAGGCACACAGCTAGAAGTAGCATGCCATGATTCAGATGGACATCTATAAGACTCTGAAATTGTGCTCTCCATTGATGTGAATATGTATGGACATAAGAATCTTCTAGGTCCCAGGAGGGAGTCTTTGACCTGGTGTGACCGTGACCATGTCCTCCAGTTCTGGTGTTTGTCTGCCCAGTGAGGATGGGCAGGATCATACTTGCCTTATGGCATGATATGTGCCCTGGCCAGTGGAGCATCTTCTGGGTCAATTAGTGGGATGTGAGTTACTGCTTTCATTCCATAACTTGGGCACCTGACCCAGAGTAATTGCAGGAAAACAGTGAAACATTAGTCAACTGATTACCAAAACAACAAATCTAAGCTTCTGGGGAGGTGATTTTACAAAATGTTTATCTCCAAAGACTTCCCAGGTAAATGGGGGAAGACATGTTAGTGGGGAGGTGGAGGGCTTTCTTAGGGACACAGAGAGGCTCCCAGGGGTGTGGTCACATAGGCCTCACTGTCCTGCTCATGCATGGGGAGCTGTTCTATGCTGATCTTCTCTTGACGGACCCTGCTGATGAGATGGGGCAGCCTCAGTGGGTTTGTACAAAATGTGCTTGGCCAGGCAAGCTCAGGACTGACCATGACTGGAGGTTGGCTGTGGCCAAGTGTGAGTGTTGGGAAGAAGACTGGCTCCATGGAGGCAGTCGGGTTCATGTATGGGTGGAGCAGGTTGCTGGCCTCACATAGCCAGCTTTCTCCGCTGGTGGCGGATGCAGCCTGGCAATTTCATGTGGTGGATATAAGTCCTCACTGAACAGGGATAGTGAGGCAAGGCTCTTTTACCTGCCAGACGACTAACCCTCTGGCTATTCTGAGATAGGCGTAGGGTAGGATACTAGAGCCGGAGAGCTAGAAGAAGGGACAGTAATGGTACTGTAGGATAAAGGCAAGGCACCTGGCAGGGCACTGTGGTGGTGTAAAAGGGTACTAAATGGGCCTCTCGCAAGAAAGTTGGATACTCTGAGGACCTTGGCATCCTACCCAGTGCTGAGACCCAGGATGAGCCAGCAGGGGCTGGAGAGACCCCCTGGGTCCACGTCTCCTTGGGTAGACCCTCAGGAGGGCTATGGAATGTTCCTGAGGCCTGTGTGCCTCTTTCTCCAAGGGCTGCTCTTCTCGTCTCTGTTGTGGCTCCTCATGCTCACTTGTGGTCCTTACTTCCTTGAATGGGGTCCAGTTCAGGGCCTCAGCCAGACAGCGTTCAGCTTCTCAAACTTGAGGTCTTTGAGCCCTCGCCTTCCGTGTGTTGGCTCCATGCCAACAGCCCTTTACCTGGCCTCTGGCTTTATAGAGCATTCACTTCACGGGACTCCCCAGGCGGGAGGGAATGGAGTGCAGGAGGCTCCCCTTTCTCCTGCCTTTGATCTCCCTGCGGTAGTGTTCACCGTCCTGGGGTTCCTGCCTCAGTCCCTGGCCCTGGCTCACCCAGTTCCCTGAGCACTCAGGCCACCAGGCCAGTGATGCTCTGCTGGGAGGCAGCTGTTTGTTTGTTCACTGGCAGAGAAGGTTGTTTCCCATTGTCTGCTGTTTGACCAGTGTGACCTCAGAGTTCTTCTTGCTTCATAAACCTCTGGGAGGGGCCACCTCCAAACAGAACAATGGGCCTCTTCAGGAGCAACCGGGAAGCCCCAGGCAGCCCCATGGCTGGAGGTGGCTGGCTGTGTATTTAGCAGGGCTTTCTGTTCCTCGTGGTCTAGATGCATCACTGTAAGCGATACCGCTCCCCTGAACCAGACCCGTACCTGAGCTACCGATGGAAGAGGAGGAGGTCCTACAGTCGGGAACATGAAGGGAGACTGCGATACCCGTCCCGAAGGGAGCCTCCCCCACGGAGATCTCGGTCCAGAAGGTGAGCGGAAACTAGATAGGAGGGAAAGGCTCCTTCTGTCAGCTGGGCTCAGCTGTGGCAACTCCAGACTCCTTGAGATGACTCCATCCCCACCCAGCTGTCCTTGGATCCCTGCCCTGTCCTGTTTGGGCTCCTCCACTAACCTCACCTGCATGCCTTGGCCTCAGCAGTAGCTGCCTTCCTTGTCGCCCAGTCTTTCTCTGTTTTGGAGTGCCTTTTCTCCCTACACATTCCCCCATTTTCTAGGCTGGCAACTTTCCTGCTTAACCTCCTAAGCCTTCCTCGGTGAGGATTAGGAACATAACCTCACCCCTGGAAAGGTTGTTCCCTGGGCCTATCTCAGCCCCCAGACCAAACTTAAGAGTTGCAGCAGGCCACAGGGAACTCTGAAGGGTGTAGAACCCTTGGAGGCCCTCTACCATACTCCCCTTTCCCTGTACCCCTCCTCCTATGGCTGGAGGATGCTGCTGTTGGACAGGGCTCTGGAGGGCAGGCTTAGTACCTTTGCACCCTCCCCTCTCAGCCATTTCCCACCAGTCTGGATGCTTTTAGCACAGGCTGTCCCCCTTCAGCCCTTTACAGTGGCCCTACCACAGGTCTCTTGCCTGCTAACAGCAAGGACACAGCTGACCAGCATCCCCATCCCCCTTTTGGCAGCCATGACCGCCTGCCCTACCAGAGGAGGTACCGGGAGCGCCGTGACAGCGATACATACCGGTGTGAAGAGCGGAGCCCATCCTTTGGAGAGGACTACTATGGATCTTCACGTTCTCGTCATCGTCGGCGATCGCGGGAGAGGGGGCCATACCGGACTCGCAAGCACGCCCACCACTGCCACAAACGCCGCACCAGGTCTTGTAGCAGCGCCTCCTCGGTGAGTGGTAGCCAGAGTGTGCTGGCTGGGGCTTAAAGGCCTCATCTCTTCCTAGCCTTCTCTCAGGCTGGCTGGTCCGGGTGAGTACTGCCAGCCCTGTGCACGTGCACTGGTGTGCGTGCATGTGTGTGTGTATGTGTTGTCTGGTCCAGGTGCAGGGCTGATCACAGGGTCCTGACCCCTGTGTCTTTTGGCCCCTTCCAGTGGCAACTATAGGAACTCTGGCTCCGATGCTGGCTGGCCTCTGGCCTGTCTATGTCTACACAGTGCTCTAGACACAGACCACGTGGTGCAAGTGGCTGGGGACACTTCTTAGGACACTTCTTAAGGATCCTAGTAGAGTGGCTGGTATGGTGGTCTGCAGCTATATGGCTTGGTCCTTCCCACCCAGAGACTGCCTCCTCGTGTAACTGAGTGCTCTGATGTGGACTGCATCCACCTCTGCGTCTCATCTGCATACCCCTTCCCAAAGGCCCTCAGTCTGGAGTGCCTCACAGGACGGGAGGATTTGCCTGTCAGCCAGCTCAGACTGGGAACTTCCCTTCTAATCTCCAGCCAGGCCCTCTCCAGCCGAGCCTCTTTACGAGGGGCAGTCGCGGTGAGGAGGGGCAGGTGCCTGTGTGATGGGGCATGTGAAGAAATGGTGGAAAGGCTGCTGCCCCAGGCCTTGTCCAGTTGCAGGCCACATGCCCAGAGCGGGGCCTGGCCAGTATTCCTAGCACGGAGGGTTGTAAGGTCTCTGGAGCCCTCACTGCGCTCAGTTCCCTGGGGAAGGAAAGCCAGTTGTGTATTTCCGAGGTTACGTGCGGTCTTCTCTTCTCCCCCATCCCTCTTCCCTGCCTCCCCCCTGCCGGCCTTGAGGCCCCTGAGGAGCAGTGGAGAGGCCAGGCGTCTTCTCTGCCCAGCTCTTTCTGTGACTTCTTTGAGTGGCCACAGGTTGAGGGTTGACTGTGCGGGCGATTGCAGCATGGCCCTTTGGCCTCTTTGCACACTGCCACATGCTGCCACAGGATGGCAGTGCAGGTCTGGCTCTGCTTCTCTGTTTGGTGCCCTCTTATCGATCGTCGTGAGGCTTGGGATGGGCCTAGATTGTGAGCAGCACAGGTGCCAAGGCCAGGGCAGGAGCTGGCATGGGGCCTGTGTGGGCCATTGTGGTAGGAAGCCTTGCAGTTGACCGGCCCAGAGGATCCAAGGCTGCTTTCCTGCTTGAGGCTGGTGGCAGGAGGGCTGCTGACGGCTGTTTCTGGTAGTGATGGTGAAGTCTGGCCAAGGATGCCGTCTGGAGGCAGGTAGCAGCTTGGCTCTGAGTGGCAGCTGTCAGGCATGTGCAAGTCTGCGTGGGCGAACAGAGGCAGGCAAGGACAGGCTGGGCATTCTGCAGCTGAAGCCGGAGCAGCCGCTGACCAGTCTGGATGGTTGGACCCAGGCGGGGCCAGCTGCCTTCTTGCGCCACCGTTCTCACTGCATCTTCCGCTCTGGCCAAAGCCACATGGGAGGGCCTGGGAGGGAGAGACTCGGAGGAGGAGGAGGAGGGAGTCGGGGCGATGGCTCTCCTCACAGCGTGGCCCTCAGCAGCAGAGGCAGGTCGTCTTCCTGAGCGTTTGTGGCGCTCCTCTTACAGATAATGTCCGAGTTTTCTTTACATACCTGTAGCTGTTTTTACTTTTCTGTTTTTGAAGTCAGTTTGTGTCTTGACGTGTCCCTTGCAATATCCCTATCGTTATATATGCTGTGTGCCTTATGAAATGCTGGGATCTGGAAAATCCAACCAACCAACCCACCGGCTCCTCACCGTCTCCACCTCTGCCTTTGACTGACACCTCAATCTGTCAATCGGAACCGCCTACCATGCGATTGGTCGGATGGCGTTTCGGGGGGCGGTGCATGCAGAGAAGCCAACAGAGCAGTAAGCGCAGCAGCCGGAGTGTGGAAGATGACAAGGAGGGTCACCTGGTGTGCCGGATCGGCGATTGGCTCCAAGAGCGATGTACAGCCACCTTTCGTAAAACTTTACCTCTCTACTTTCTACCCCCCTTGTTAGATGAGACCTCTCCTGCCTGGAGGGGCCTCTAGTGCGCGTGGTGCCTTAGCGGGGCCACCAGTAATTGCCTGAATGACACAGACACTAGCAACTTCCATTTTAAAGAGTGTAGCAGTGAGAGAGAAACCTTTTTTGTTTTTGAGAATTTGAATGCTGTGAACTTGCAGGAGCTGCCAACTCCCTGCCCTCCAGATTCTCATGCCCAATTTCTTTTCTCTCCTAGATGAGATTGTGGGGAACCTGGGTGAAGGCACCTTTGGCAAGGTGGTGGAGTGCTTGGACCATGCCAGGTGAGCGAGCTGGGGCAGTACAGCTGGCTCTGGATGTGATCTTCCTGGGAAGAGCTGGCCTGAGTTCTTGAGGGTGGCAGCTATCAGAGCTTAACTTTTTTCTTTTTGAAGGGTGGCATCAAAGTAGGGTTCTGACCTGTCCATGTTGGGGTTTTGCTGATCCCCTGTAATAAGGGAGAAATTCTTGGGTCCTGCAGGTATGTGGCAACACTGCCCAAGAATTGTTGCTCAGTGAAAGGTTCTGCTCTAATCTCTCTACTTCTCCAGGACTGTAGTGGTGGATATCAGAACAAGGCCAAGGCCCCAGCTCCCCTATGGCTTGGAGCTGCCTCTGTAGCTCCCCTATGGCTTGGAGCTGTGATAACTTTTAGGTTCTTGGCCTGGCAAGGGGCTAGGAGTACCACCAAGCCCAGCCCTAAGGGCATAAGTCCCATCCCCTGAGGGTCTGCCTTTGAGACTGTGCAGATCTTAGTCGAGAGAAACATGACCCTGGGCTTTCTCACCAAGGAGGCCGCTGCCTTCTTCAGTGTGGCTAGGGTAGTGTGCGGTCTCTGCTGAGTGTGCCCAGGAGAGTGGGGTATACCTATGTGTGTCATGCTGCACCTCACTCTCTCCCAAGCCCAACAGTGCAGTAGTTTTGTTCCTTCACCATTCCACAAGACTAGAACGTTTACTTCCTCTCATATAGGTCTGGGTTGGGGAGGCCACCTCCAGGGAGTCAGTTGCCTCCCTGCTGTAGGCTCTCTAGTTGGTTTGGCACTTCAGCTACAAAGTGCTCGTGTCCTCATTGGAGCCGCGTGCCACCCGTATGTGGCCCTCTCGCTGTTGCAGAGATGAATAAACATACTCAGGGTTTGCCTGCATCATACTCCAGTTAACGGCAGAGTTGGCCACCACTGCGCTGTAGTGCTCCTACATTAAATGGGGTACTCAGGTCATTCAGACCCAGGCATCCAGCCTTCCCTGTGGCCACAAGGTAGACTGAGAGGAAGTTTCCATTTGCTCCAAGTTTCCATGCAAATGCCTGTATGACTCAGTGCGGCCCAAGAGGTTAGGGTTGGGACCAGTGGGTGGAGGGACATGCACAACTATACCATGGCCAGGTGGAGACATGGCAGACTCAAGTAGGCGGTCTGGGCTGCTCCTCTCTGAGGAGCTGGAGGGAAAATGAGCCTCTGGAGTTACTAGGGGGCAGGTGGAGGGTCCGGGGAACCTTTACTTTCACTCAAAGGACTCAAAGGGAGCCAGGGCCAGTGGGGGTTGTCATGCGGAGGCAGAATTCAGCTCAGTGAAAGGCAGGGTCTTATTGTAAGAGCCATGCAACTCTGGCAGGGCTGCCTTGGAAGTGATGAGCTCCCTGTGCTGAGGACTGGGATGCCACGGAGGGACCCTGTTTCAGGAGGAGGCCGGAGTGCATGACCTTTCCCCTGAGAATCTGGGAAAATAGGATAGGGAAAGAAAAGCAGGGGATTCTCTAGAAGATCCCTTTACCCTGGGCCTGTGAGCCTTCGGCACCACCGTCAGCCTCCCTGAGGCCTCAGACATGCCCTTCCAGGCTAGGGCTGTCTCACTCAAGTTCCCCACTGGACATCTGAATTCTAGCGGTCCTTTCCTGACAGGGCCTGGCAGCCAGACCTCAGCAGGTTTCCTTCTCTGCTGGCTCCCTGCAGATGGCCTCCTGGGGTGGGGTTGGGGGTGGGAAGCACAGAGCAGGGACTGTTAAAATCTTCTCTGGACACTTAAGAAGGGTTCCTGGCATTTTGTGGTCACTGATAAACACTGTGGCAGGTAGGTGCGGCGGTAAAAGGAGTGACCCTGGACCCCACAGTGAGAGGTACCCTTGCTGGTACCCCTACCTCTTGCCAGATCTTTACTCGATCCTGGCACTCCCATCCCTGTTGGCTCAGACTTGCAGACAAGCTCAGGAAGGTCAAGAGGTGCTGCAGGAGGGCTCTGGGTGGGATAGCCTGGCCAGGGTTGGGGCTGCCTGGCCTATAGGTTAGGTCACTATGTGAGCTCTTGGGCTGGCGCTGGGTAAGCAGGATTGGCCTCTACTCTCCCACACTCCTTTGGGAGCTGGCAGTGGCCGAGAACATAAAAGCCTAAGGCTGGCATGGATGCCAAGAGCATTAACTCACAGATGTCAGGGAGCTTGCTGTTGGGTGGGCAAAGGTCTGGTGTTGCATGGGGCAGGCTGGGCATCCCGTATCTGCTTTCTTCAGTGCAGGCTGCTCCTGGAGCAGTGTTTGTTGGGAGTTGCTGGATTGGGGTGGTGGGTGGGGGAAGGACTGGGCAGCTGCTGATGAGAACCTCTGTTTCCTTCCCGGGTACCAGAGGGAAGTCTCAGGTTGCCCTGAAGATCATCCGCAATGTGGGCAAGTACCGGGAGGCTGCCCGGCTAGAAATCAACGTGCTCAAAAAAATCAAGGAGAAGGACAAAGAAAACAAGTTGTGAGTGTCTGCAAGGAGTGGGAGGGAAGCCTTCAGTGGGGCTGCTGGACCCCCAGGGGCTTAGTAGTGTCCCTTCACCCGTCTGCACTGTGCCTTCTCCCCACACTCAGAGCCAGGGGAGTGTGGCAAAGGTCTTGCTGGAAGCCTTTAGACTGCAGTCCAGGCTCCACCTCAGCTGGCTCTGTGGCCCGAGGCAGGCCTCCCAGGCCTGCATTTGTGAATTGGGGAGCTCACTGGGTTATGTTTGGCGTAAGACAAGATAAAAACATGAAGCCGTTTGGGGCTTTCACATAGTAGGAGATACCCAAAGGAGGGCCTTTCTGTGGCAAACACACTGAGCACTCTCCTTCACACATTGTGCTGAGCCTGGGCAGATGGGTGAATCCAGCACACCCTCACGAAGCTCAGCAGAGTGGGCAGGTCGAGAAAAGCAGCACCAATCCTGCAGAGTGCACTAGCACTTTCCATGTCTCCCTCAGCAACTCTGAGGCAGGGCTTCTCCCACATCATAAGTAGGGAAGCTTGGAGGGCTTGGACCAGAACTCTGGACATCTCCCCTACCCACTGCAGGAAGCTTAATCCTTGCCCAGGGCTCATCTGGGGATTGGGTGATGGCTGGTGGGGAGAAGTGCTCTTGCTGTGGTTCTCTTGCATTGTGTGTATCTGCGTTCTGGTGTGTGACCCGGTGGCCTAGGAGAGAGTTGGGAACTGTCTTCATCTGAGAGAGGGGGTGAGGCAGGCCCCCAGCACACAGCCTGAGCCCTGCCTATCCTCCTCTTCCAGCCTGTGCGTCTTGATGTCTGACTGGTTCAACTTCCATGGTCACATGTGCATCGCCTTTGAGCTCCTGGGCAAGAACACCTTTGAGTTCCTGAAGGAGAATAACTTCCAGCCTTACCCCCTACCACATGTCCGGCACATGGCCTACCAGCTCTGCCACGCCCTTAGATGTAAGTGTCCACCCTCAAAAGAAGCATGGGCAGCCACATGCCTACAGCCAAGTCATCTGGTTACTTGTCCCCATTCATTCCAGCACGTTACTAACCATTCTCCTGGGCCTGGGGGACACCAGATCCCCTTTGGCGGAAAGGCCTGTCTTCAGGTGGGAATCTCAGTGTGAGGATGGAAAGGTTAGGGCTCCCTCCAGGGACCGCTGGACCAGCCTCTCTACCCCCAGGCACTCAGGAAGAAAACAGAAAAGAACTGCTCCAGAATTGGCCTAACCACCAACCCCACCTCCCTGCTTCATGCATGGGGTAAAAAGGTAGAAGCCTGACCTGACAGGGCCACAGGTCCTGCCCACATGGAGACCCTCTGTGCAACCCTGACTTGTCATCTCCCTGCCAGCCTTGAAAAGCATTTGGTGGTGCCAGGGCTCAGCACTGTAGGATTTGCAGTGGTTGCAGCAGTACAGTAAGGCTCCTTGGTGAAGTTGGTAGACCTTGAGCTAGAATATAGAATAGCTCAAGGTAACCCTGCATCGCTCCCCTACCCTGAGCACTGCTACTTCGTGATAGGCTGCAGGCCACTGGGGTGGGAAGCCCCACATGGATGAGAAGACGGGTGTCTTCCTCCTCCCACAGAATTTGCAAGATGGGACAGGGACAAGGTTTCCAAGCAAGGGGAACAGTTTGGTGAGGCCCGGAGCCTGTTATGGGCTGAGAATTGGCTCCAGTGGAATAGGCTATTATTGGGGAGTCGTGGGCCACACAGTTGTGAGGGTCTTGAGTGCCAGATGGGAGCCTTGAGCTGAAAAGTGACTACAAGCAGGAAGCCACTGTCAGAAGGGGCTGGACGGGAAAGGCTTCCCTGCTCATGACTAGCGATGAGAGGCGGGGCTGGCTTCCTGGGTATGCAACCTATGCACTCAGTCACACAGGACCCTGTGCTTGATTCTTAGTAACTTGAAGAGGGGACCTGCATTTTCATTTTGCAAAGGGCCCTGCAAATTATGTAGCTGGTGCAGGGAAGAGGGAACCAACTCAAGGCTGTTGCTGTAGCTTTGGTGAGAGACAGGTGAGGAGGCCTGGTCTCTGCAGAGGAGAGGTGGAGGGAGGTTTTTCAAATGGCAAATTTCTTTCCCACCCCGCTGCTAAAGTATCAGAACCCTCCAAGGCCTCAAGTACAGAGAACTCTTGAGAGAGAGGCCAGCACAGAGGCAGGCTGCAGTCCAGCTCCCTGCTGAGGTGGGGGTGTGAGGAGCTCTGGCAGTTGCTGGCATTGGAGGAGGGGTCTGGCCTAGCGCTGGCAGGAGAGCCAGCTTCTCATTTGCCTACTTCCCCTTCTTTCCCTGCTCCCTTAGTTCTGCATGAGAATCAGCTGACCCATACAGACTTGAAGCCAGAGAACATCCTGTTTGTGAATTCTGAGTTTGAAACCCTCTACAATGAACACAAGGTATTGGTGGGGGTAAGGGTGAGGCCCTGCTCCAGGGGTGGGTTACCCACTGGTGTGGACTCCTGACCTGGCAGGCCTGCCTTGCTTTTCAGAGCTGTGAGGAGAAGTCAGTGAAGAACACCAGCATCCGAGTGGCTGACTTTGGCAGTGCCACCTTTGACCATGAGCATCACACAACCATTGTGGCCACCCGTCACTATCGCCCACCTGAGGTGATCCTTGGTGAGTGACTGTATGGCCTGTGACCTCGTCACACTGGACTGTTGGGAGGGTATAAACAGAGGCAGTGGCATGCCTGGCAGTCTCTGCCACCCAGGGCAGGCAGAGTTTCTCAGACCAAGAGGCCAGTGTCATGAGACACAGGTGACTGACCTGGTTTTATCTGTCAGCCTTACTGAGAGGGCCTTGTAATGGGATTTGGGCAAGAGTCCTGCCAGCCAGTGTGGTGGCTGCCCTGTGACCTCCAGGCTGGAAGCATAGGGCCAGATCTCACAGCCTCTCCCCATCTTGGCTTTCAGAGCTGGGCTGGGCACAGCCCTGTGACGTCTGGAGCATTGGCTGCATTCTCTTTGAGTACTACCGGGGCTTCACACTCTTCCAGGTACAGCCACCCCACATCGCTCCCCTACCCTGAGCACTGCTACTGTGATAGGCTGCAGGCCACTGGGGTGGGAAGCTCCACCTGGATGAGAAGACAGGTGTCTTCCTCCTCCCATTAGTCATCATGTGAGATTCAGAGTCTTAAGGATGTAGATGCTAAAGGGAGTGCACAACTCAGGGCAGCTAGAACACTCAGAGGAGTCTTATGCTAGGCCGTCGAGGATGGAGGATGGGCAGGAGGTGACCTGACCTTCTAGATAAAAGGCACAGATGAATAAAGGCATCAGGATGGGCTGGGACAGGGCATGTTCTGGGCAGGGAGTGAAGAGCTAACCAGAGGGAAATGCAGCCACAGCCCAGTCTGCCTCCACCCACAAGGGCTGAGGAGCCTGAGCCTGAGCACAGGCTGGCAGGAGAAGCTGGGGCTGCCGCTTCATTGGTAGGTTTGCATCTCCGGGGGCAGTGAGGGCACTTGTCCATCTTTCTTGTTCCTTATTCTCCTTGAAGGGGCCAGAGCTAGGACTGACCCCCTTGCACTGTCCCTAATCTTCCACAGACCCACGAAAACCGAGAGCATCTGGTGATGATGGAGAAGATCCTAGGGCCCATCCCATCACACATGATCCACCGTACCAGGTAAGGACCCCAGTAGCCCCCTCAGGGTTGGTATAGGGGCCTTTCTCTTCTTGGCTGTGGGTCAGCAGGGTACTGGATGTGGTGAGTCTTTGTTGGACAGTCCATGGGTCCCAAAAACCTTCCCTGTGTGCCCCTGCAAACCTGTTGCCCTGGTTCTGCTGCTGTCTTGGGAGCTGCTTTTCCCCACCTCCCACCAGAGGCTTGTCCCCTTTCTACTCCCACACTTGACTCCACCCCCTTAATTTTCAGGAAGCAGAAATATTTCTACAAAGGGGGCCTAGTTTGGGATGAGAACAGCTCTGATGGCCGGTATGTGAAGGAGAACTGCAAACCTCTGAAGGTCAGTTTCTGGCTACCCCCAGCTCAACTCATGCCAAGGAGAGACCCCAGGCACTGGGCAGACATACAGCAGAGACAGGCCAGGCCACTAAAGGCTGCCTCCTCGATCCAGATCTATGGGAGGCGGCACCCAAGACTGCTGGATGCTGGCAGTGGGGCTTCTTGCATACTGTCCCAGAGGGGCCCTTGGCCCTACCCCTTCCCCATAGGGTGGCTATGAATGTAATTGGGGAACACCGGAAGAGCCAGATGTCAGAAACCCTGCTGCTTCCTGTCCCTCTCTCTCCGCGAAATTTTGGGAAGGACTAGGCAGGACTGAGGTGAGGGGGAGGGAAGACCTAGACATGGCCAGGAAGCCAACTGCATTTGGTCTGTGTCAACTGCATTTGGTGCTCGGGCAAGTGAATTTCGCAGAGGTGATCTCTACCCACTTGTCAGGACTTTGCATGTGGGGGCAGAGGCATCAATCCAGCAAGACATCTAGTAGCCTGGCAAGTTCCGAGCAAAACGTTAAACACAGGCATGAAAGGAAAGGAGCTGCTCATTGTCCAGGAGGGCGGAAGTAGAGTCCTCCAAGGAGGCAACACTGCCTCCTCGATCCAGTCCAGCAAGGCGTCCCAGAGGCAAGGGGACCTGCTGTGGCTTCCCACGATCCTGCCGTCACACTGAGGCACCTTGTGTCCCTGAGCAGAGTTATATGCTCCAAGACTCCCTGGAGCACGTGCAGCTGTTTGACCTGATGAGGAGGATGTTAGAATTTGACCCTGCCCAGCGCATCACACTGGCCGAGGCCCTGCTGCACCCCTTCTTTGCTGGCCTGACCCCTGAGGAGCGGTCCTTCCACACCAGCCGCAACCCAAGCAGATGACAGGCGCAGGCCACGGCATGAGGAGATGGAGGGCGGGACTGGGCCGCCCAGCCCCTTGACTCCAGCCTCGACCACCAGGCCCCAGGCCAGAGCCACCCAATGAACAGTGCAATGTGAAGGAAGGCAGGAGCCTGCAGGGGAGCAGACTTGGTGCCCAGCTGCCAGAAAGCACAGATTTGACCCAAGCTATTTATATGTTGTAAAGTTATAATAAAGTGTTTCTTACTGTTTGTAACCCCTGGTACCAGTGTGTCCATCTCCAGGCTCCTTGCCTTCCCCTTACCTGACCTTATTAATAAAGTCTTTCTTAGCAGTTCAGCTTGTGGAGAGCTAAGTGTGAACTGGGCCAGGCACAGAAGAGCTAGGCAGGGGTAAGACCAGAAGTGGGGATGTCCTGAGCCCAGGCTGCTGAGCAGTCCTAGACGGCACCTCTGCACTGCTGGCTCCTGTACCTCTCAGCCCCAGAGAACGTAACGGAATCAGCCCACTGTGACTAGCCAGGTGGGCTGATTTTCCGCAGCCTGCCAGTCCCATTACTGGCTGGGACTTTAGGCTGTATGTGCCCAACAACTATGGTCTGCTGAGGGCAGGAGACAAGTGGGGCGGGTTCCTAGGCTGGAACAGGCAGCACCTCATGACAGCCTACAGAGCAATTCACACGCCACAGGACTCAGTCATTCAGCTTTATTTCAGTGCTGGTTTTTGGTTCCCTAAGAGCTGCACGAGTGCTAGGTTTCACCACGTGACTGGGGGCCCCTTGGGAACTAGGTACTATGGGCAGGATGCCCCTGAAAAGAACTGAAGATGGAGGAATCATACTTAATACCTCTGGGGAAGGCCCAGGCTAAGGATGAGGGCAAGGACCAGTCCCAGTGCCCCCTGGGGAGAGAAGAGGGAGAAGCTTGGGCACAAACTCCCAGTGGCCCCGCAAGGCTATCATCCCTGGATCTTGCTGGAGTGGGCAGTCTCCTGGGCCAGGGTTCTTGTAGCCTGTTTCTCACTGTACCTAATCAGGGGGCCTAACTGCATTAACAGGCAGCCAGAACCTGCCTACCAAAATGCCTGTAACCTAGACTGCTCTTCGGATTGTGGCCAAGAGAGGGCTCCGGCTTGGGAGCTGCTTGGCCCTGAGAGTGAGCAGAGGCTCAGAGAATACATAGCACAAGGGTTACAGTCCCTGGCCTCTTCCCATTGCTGGAGACAATTTAAGACTGAAGGGAAGATGAGAGGAGGGGCCAGCCCTCTACCCTGGCTCATCTGCTTCTGGCTATGCTCCTACAAGGAAAGTGGTAACAGCCTGAAACCCATGGTACCAGGGCCTACCCTGTGTCCACAATCCTCAGTAAGCCCTTCTGCCCACCCATCCACCCGCTCAGCCAGTCTGGGCAGACACAGCAGAAGCAGCCTGAAGCCCTGAAACAGGCTTAAACACAGGTTCTTGGCAGGAATCCCTGCCAGGGTTCCAGGCATAGATCCTGTTCTACCAGCCTCCAGGGCCTAGGGCTTGGCACCTTAGGATTTGAGCATCAGTGTGTTCCTATGGTTGGAACCCACACCAGCTAGCTCATCCAGAACTAGCCTCATTTTGCCATCTTTGAGACAGGGTGCTGGCCCCAAGCCTGTTCATCTAGACTGGACAACTGTAAAGGGTTCAAGGCCCAGATGTTTTAAGAGCTGGGGTGGAGCTCAAGCAGGGGAGCCCATGTGCCCTGCTCTGGGATGACAGCTGCAAAGGAACATTTCAGGGGAAGGGCAGAGGGGACGAAAGAGTAGGTGGGGCATGTATGTGCAGGCAAAGGGCTGGAGGAGTGGTGGCCTAGGACAGAAGCACCAGGAAGCCTCTTCTGGCTCAGCACCAGGCTCCCCCAGGGATATCCCCATCTGAGGGGTCTGGCCCCAGACTAGGCAAAGGCTCAGCCTGCTCAGTTTTGGGGGTGGGGGCGGGCACTGCTGGCAAGATGGGCACTGTGGTTCTACAGTAATATAACCTTATACTACCTGTGCTGAAGACAACAGAACATAAAATCCCAATACAGTAACACCATCCTAATGCCGCCCCCTTCCCTACCTCTGAGTGATGGAGGGAAAAGGAGGGAGAGATCCTTGGAAAAATCAGCATAAAACTTGGATCAGCTCAGGAGTAAGGGTCAAAACCCCCCAAATCAACTTGTGAGGCTAGGGGAAGGCCTGGTCTGTCACAGCCCTGGAAATGAATGGAGAGTGCAGGTCTGCCCTCTGGTGGACAGCTGCCACGCAGCTGGTTCTACAGAGGAAGGGCTGTCTGCATGGGGAAAGCAAGGGAGACACAAAGCCACAAGCTCTGAAACAGAGCAGGTCCAGGCCCCCAAACAGGACCTGGCCCACTCCTCAATGCATGTGCCCAGGCCCAGTGGCTGTAAACCTGAAACACAGTCTTAGAGAGCTGCCTACGGCTGTAAACAAAGGCCCACCTGGCCGTGCAGGGGGCTGAGGGTAGAGATGCCTGGAGCTGCTGCACGCTCAGCCTGCCGCCCAGCCCGGAACCCAGTGGGAAAGACTTCCCTGGCTAAGAGCAAGTGACAGGTCAGTTTTAAGTAAGTTCTGTTCTCTCACAGAAGAAACAAACCCAAAAGGGAAAAAACTTTAACAAGGTCCATGAAGCTTCATATCCTTAAGGCGTTCGTTATCAGAGCAGCAGGGGACAGCAGGGTCCTGCCTGCGCAGGAACCCTCTAGGCAGAGTGCAGTGGGATAACAAACTTGCAGCCAAAGGGCGAGTGGTAGTTGATGCCCACCTCCTGGAAGACCTGCTGGGGAATGCCAATGTCGCACAAATAGATACGGCCTGCGTGTTCCCCCAGTGGCAAAGGCAGGCCCAGTGCCAGTGACCATTTGGCATCAATGCCCTGTTCGACTTCATGCACAGGAGGGTCTATGCTGAGTACTGGTGCCCGGTTCTGGTTGGCCCAGGCCACAGCAGCCTTGTACCAGGGTTGATCCCGCAGGAAGACGTTCTCAGGGCAATCCAGGCAGTTGATGACCAGGTCCACAGGGCTAGTGGGCAGATCTGCAGGTGGAAAGAGTGCCATCTGAAAATCCCTATAAGCAGAGAGCAGCCCAGGCTGGGACTAGGGCCCAGGTCGTCCCAAGGGTATCTCTGTTTTCCAGACACCACTCCGATGCCTCTCCAAAGGCTGGCCTTCTTAAAGCTGGGCCAGGGCACAGGCCCTAGGAGTTGCAAGCTGGCTGGGCTGAGTGCTAGGGACCAAGTTGCATGTCAGCCCAGCAGACCACTGCCCTCCTGGAGTTCTCAGGATGAACCACTGTCCTGCTCAGTGTGCAGAGCTTCTCAGGGCACAAAGCCCTCACCTCCTTTGCCTTCTCAGGCACGCCTCTGTATATTCAACTAATGCCCTGGGCACCTTATGACCTCTGGGAAGGCAGAGTCCACTGTCAAGGTGGCTGTCACAGGGAAGCCCCACTCAGGCCCAGCAAAAACAGGAATTGATTGCTATCTGCTGACTGACCCAAGAAGGGTGAGCAGGTGAGAGCATGCTTATTCTATTCCGGTTGGCCTACTCATTCTACTCTAGCAAGCCTGTCCTCTCTCGTACTCATTATCTCATAGGAATGGGTTTCCCACTCAGCCCAACCTTAATTAAGAATTAACAGAGAACCTCTCCCAGGCTCCTCTGCTCTAACCAGGCCTCTGGAACAGTATTAGAAAGGGATGTCTCACCAAGTATATAGATCCTGTACTGGCCTAAGAGGTTAAACTGAGAATAGCAGAAATCAGACCAAACTTAATCGTTGTTCAGACTTGTGTCTGGGAGCAGCTGGGATAGGAAAACCTTTGGGCAGCAAGAGGAAGAACTGCCTAGAAGGGGGCATCATGTTAAAAATTACAAGAAGGGGAACCCACACCAGGCCCCCTTCCCAGCTCTCAGCCTAGAGTAATATCATTTCTTAGCTAGAGACCCACAACTTTCCTGCTTAGAATGTGCCGTTGGGGGCAGTCCCTGTGGGTGATGAGGCTCTCAAGAGTGAGAGTGGCATCCTATCTTCTGTGTGCCCACAGGAGCCTGGCCTGAGACTTAGGAGACAAAGGTTCTGGTCCAGGCTTTGCCCTTGACTCACCATCTGACCTCTAGTGAAGTCCTTTCTCTGGGCCATATTTGCTCTCTCCAGTTCTTCCCCCTGCCATTCTCATTTAAACCCATTCCAATCAGACTCTATCCCTACCACTCCACTTGAGACTACACTCGTCAAGCTCACCAGGAGCCTCCACAGAGATGCTAAATCCAGTGGTCGATTCTGTCTTCCTTTGACCTTAACCTAGAGCGTGGCTTGCTGACACAGCTGATGACATGCTCCTTTCTTCACTTGGCTTTCAGCTACCATACTCTCCTGGTTTTCTTTCGCCCTCACTGACCATTCCAGTCCCATCTCCTTGGTTAGGCTCTTTACTCCCTGACTTCTAAATAAAGAGCTCAGTTTTCCAACTTCTGTATCTACTCTCTTCCTATGTGACAGCATATCCAGGCTCCTCATGGCTTAAATATTCCCTATGGCTTGTAACTCTAGGCTGAATCCTTTCACTTCAGATTCATATAACTCCTTCCCTATCAACATTTCCACCTGCATATCCAATAGGTGTCTCAAGCTGAGCTTCTGCTGTTCCTCCCCAAATCTTCTCCATCAAGCTTTCCCATCTCAGTGATTGCACCTCAGTTACTGAGGCAAAAAACCTTGGAGCCATTCCCAAGTCTCTTTCTCCCACCCCCATACATCCAATCTGTGGATTCTATCTGATTTAGAAACTACCTTCACCACCTTTGGCACTACCACTCTGTCTTAGTCACCATAATCTCTCTCTCCCATAATCACAACAGCATCCTGACACCTCTGTGTACTCCTCTGTGTAGTCTACTCTCAAATAGCACCCAGAATGATCATCTGGAACCTAAATTTGATTATATCATTTCCCTACTTATTTCTTCAGTGATGCCCATCTCACCAGAGTAAAAGCCCAAATCCTTGTGGTCATCCCCAAGGCCCATCATGACCTGACCCTGAAATGTCCAAGTCTCCTACTCTCTACCCAGTCCTCCAACATGCCTCCTTTCCCTGCTTTACTTTTATTCATATATCTTACTACAACTACACGAGTATGTTACATACTGTTTGTACCTCCTAACCAGAATATAAGCTCCATGGAAGAATGGATTTTAAAATATCTGTTGCCATATCCCTAGCATCAGGAAGAGTGCCTGTTCAACAAATATTTGTGGAATGGACCAATGGGTCCCCAGCTTTTCATCTGAGTAGTGGGAGAGGGAG